GAAATTTTCATTTAAATGTGTAGCTGATTAAGTTAATAAAGGAACCCGAAGAGCATCGGAGCACAACATAAAGAAAAAATTTTATCTAAGCTTGATGTTAATGGTGTTAAGCAAGAAAAAGAAAGAAGACAACAACAACAGTGAAAAAGATCTCATTGTGTATTCAAAAGGATGTATTTTATTTTTTGTATTATTGGGACACACATAAAACATAAATGAAAATTTAAAGGACAATATAAAGAATGATCTGCCAAAAAAATGTTGAATTTTTAGAGGAAAAATTGAAAATATATTAAGACACACGCTATATAGGCGTAGGAAATGTGTTTAAAAAAAATGTTAGTATAAATAAGGAAGAAGAAAAAAAAGCGAAAATATAAAGTAATCAAAAATCATTGAATGGAACGTCTCAAATTTAACGATAAAACCGTAATGATTCTAGGAAGTTTTATTTTTTATTGCTTCAATTTTAATATTTTATTCCCGTCTCCTTAACAAAAACCACAAGAAGAAATAAAAAAGGACTTAATGTCTTTTTAAAAAAATTGGAAAAAAGAACGAAAACGGCCAGACTGGAATTAAAAATCAAATTAAATAAATTAGCAAAATGAATAGTTGAAATTCTAAGACAACATTTAATAATGAATTTGATTTTTGATTAACTATTTTAACATAACGAGATGAGGCTTTATTGAAACGGGTTACCTGATTTCCTACTTTATAGTAGTTTTACTGCAATTTTATTGTATACGAATATTTTACCACTTAACCGCTATTAAATAAATTTATTTCTGACTCAAAGCTTCTTATTATCAGCACGTTTTCGGCATAACTCATTAAATCCCAATCTAAATTAATTTTTTTAATCTTGAAATTTGAGTAATTTTATTACAAATATTATGAATTTTCTTTAGCAATCGAATATTCATTATAATTTTCCTTTTTATATGTATTTTAAAGGATAACACAAAAAAAAAATATTGAACAACCATAAAAGAAAGCATTTTATTGAAAAAAAATTTAAAGAAAACTGAACGCTTTAATCATTTTTACGATTATTTTAATCTTATCGTTTTTTAATGTGATTAAATTTAGTGTAAATAAAATTCTGAAAATCTTCTATTTTTTATACAATATTTTGTTCTCTTTATTATAATTGGGTTTTCTTTAAAAAAATTTTGATCAATTGATCTTTGCTTTTAATATGTGCCGTTTCTGAATTTCATTTTGTCATTTAAAAATTTAAGTTTTTGTTCATATAAAATTTAGACAAGAATAAAGTTAAATGAACTGCTGTACTTTAAAAAGACACGCAATAGTATGCTTTGAGCATGGTAATACAAAAGCAATGTAGTTACTATATAAAATAATAAGATTTTTTCGTAGAGATGTTGGAGCTAATTGAAATTATAAAATAAATTTATAACCTGATTTAAAAAAATTAGTACATCAAACGTTATTTATGTATTCGAAAAAATGAGACCACATAAAGTAAAAATAAATTTAAGGACATGCAGAAAATTTTAGATTTTAATAAATTAAAAATTTGAACAATTTTGAATGCTGAACTTTAATTATCATAATTACAACTTTTAGTTTGAAAACTAAAATAGTCCAATTTCATATTTCGAGGAGAAGAAATTTTGTCCAACTCGGGTAAGATTTTCAAAGTCTACAAATGGTGCCAGTATGTGTAAACGGACTTTGAGACAAGAAAATTTCATATTTCTTAATTTTCCAATATTCGGAAAAAAATTGTTCTACTCAACTCCATATGCGATAATGCGTAAGCAGGTGTTTGAAAATTTTTATTTTCGTAAGGCAATTTGTAGACCTACTGGTGATAGAGATTTTAATTATGTATATGACGTAGTGGGCTTTTCAATAGATTATAAAAATATTGAAAAATTAAAAAATCTAAATTTTTGCAAGTTTTTTTTAAAAGACCCTAAGCTAGTGTTGGATGTTTAGGAAAAACACTTTCATGTACATGTATAGAAATTGCTAGAAATAAGGCAATTAAAATGGTAACAGATAATTAAATGTTCCTAATGTTTCAGCTTTGATATTGTTGGTTAAATAGTATATGTGTGTTGCTAAGCTTCATGGATTAACCTCTAAACAGCAGTAAATATTGCATTACATTACTTCTATAGCTCTACGTTGCACCTATAGGTGAATACACGTTATCAGTTGTACTTCCCATACGTATGTAATGGTATAGTTTTAGGTATAAATTATAATTTTAATGTAATAGACTTATTGGCTGTAATATACATATACTCGTACTATACAAATTGTCAAAATAAATACAAAAATTTTTGACATTATACGAGTATACACAAAGTTTTAGCTGAATAAATTGAAATCTTTTCCAAACTTTAAAATAAATCGCGTGTATATATGAAAACTTTATTAGTTTTTGTACAAACAATTTCTACATTAATTTTAAATAATCATTAAATTTAATAATTCAAGAAAAAAAAGAAAAGAAAAATGTGTTTTATGAATTATAGAAAATTTTCTTCTAGTTATGGTCTGCCCTTAAATTATAATAATTGTCTTTTAAAAATAAAATATTATTTATGTAGAACCAATCGCTTTTGTATTTTTAACCATTATTTCTATAATACTGAATTGAATGAGTTCCCAAAAATATTTATAATAATTTTTTATAATTTATAGCTTTTCTTTTTCGAAGATTTAGTAATACAAAAATCCTTCTTTTTTATTTCTTGATCTAGTATGAACTTAAAATTCATAAGCGTATTGTTATTATAGAACATTATTCATAAAAAAGTTTGTTTTTATAGAAGAGAATATAGAAGATTTTACCATAAATATTTTGTTTGTTTATTATTTTCTATATTACTTGGAATTATTCAATTTACTTAAAATTTATGTCATTTCTAAAGGGATGAGAAGAAAATATTATAAAGAAAAAAGAGAAAAAATCAACTCCACCCATTCAATTAAAAAAAAAAAAAACAAAAATTCAAGCCCCAATAATTTTTTTCTTCTACTTAGCTATTGTAATATTATTTTTCGGTCATTACCCCTAAAAATCTGCAAACAAAAATAGAAAAAAATAAGAATAATATTAAAATTATATTTATGAATATTATTATAACGGAATGGCGAATAAATTTCTCTTTTATTCTCTATTATTTTTCTATTTATTTATTTATTGTGTTTGTATTCTTTATTTTAAAGTCAATTTTATTCCCCTTTCTTGTTTTGATCATTTTCTGTTTTGTTTTGCTTTATTTTTCTTTGTTTGTTATACCAATTTTGATACCGGTGACATCATTTTACTTCAGGATGACAGCAAGATAAAAGGAGAGAGTATAAAGAAAAACAAAACATAAAAAAAAAAAGGAAAAACTTTATCCTGCTTGACACTAACGCGAAACTTTTTTATTTCTCTCATGTCTGTCCATCACTGTTGGCTTTTTTGTTTGTTTTTTTTTTTTTATTCTCAAAATATCTTCTCTTTTGTTGTTTTGTATGGTGAATTTGCATTTTTTATATATTGAAGTTTTTATTTATTATACCTGCATATTTTTTTTTTTTTCATTTTCAATTTACAATGGTTGAATTGCTTGGAATGGTTTCATATGCTGTTTGAATATAACTATTTTAAAGGCTGGTGAATGCGCCTCCTCCAATTTAAGTTTTAAATTGAAATTTTCATTTTTTAGATTTGTATTTTGAATATATTTTTTATTATACATTAAATAATAATATAGTAAAGTACTTTTGTTTATTTAAAATTTCAAAAAGAATATTTTTAAGAAATATTGCTCTTTAAACAACATTTTGCTGTTTATTCAAAAAAATGGTGTTTAAACTTCCGATTTTATTGAATTCTATAAATTTAATAATGGTAATACTTAAAAAGACAAGTTTTATGAATTAATTATTCGAAAGTTCCTACATTTTAAAATTTTATTTTGACCACACATAACGAAATTTATAGTACAATGCTCAGTTAAGTGAGAAAGAAATGGTCAGCTCAGTGAATAAAAAATTAATTAAAAAGTAATAGACTTTTCTTATATTTAAGGCATTTTATAAATAACCCGAATATCAAACATAAAGATATCTATGTGATAAGGGTAGCAGAAAATCATTTGATTGTTCTGCTTGCATGACAAAAAAAAATTTCTTTTAACATTTTATCATGAATAAGATTGTTAAATAAAAGTTTTGAGAATTGTAGCGAATTGTTGGTTAGAGGTAAAGATTTCATACTTTGCGACGCTATTAACCACTCCATAATGAGGCAAGAAACTTTTGTTTTACCATTTTTGACTAAAGAAGCTGAAGCTTTTGAATAAATAAATTAATATGTTTTTAAAAATTAATAAAAATTCTATTTAAATTAATGCAGTAATTAAGGACAATTACCTGACATTGAAAATTGAGAAGGTTAAAATAAAAATCGAAATGAAATTCAAGCGATAGAAAAACTAAATTCCGCCATTATTCAATAAAACGAAATTATTCAAAAATTAATCAAAAAACAAAGTTGTTATTAAATGTCGCAAGATTCAAATTCTTCAGAAAAAATGCAAAACCCCGAAACTTATTCAAAATGAGACTGAAGTTTAAAAGGAAATAAAATTTCTTCTATAATGTTATTGAAACCGAGTTAAATGAGAAAACATTTTTAAATTAAATTTCGATTCGTTTTCTCTTTTATTATGAAAAAAAATTTTTTTTTTGTTTTTCATTCTGGTTCAGTAATATACACACATATTCCCAGTGTACCTAGGTATAAACCATACGCAATAACAACTTTATTTTTTTTAACCTCATTTATTTATTTATTTTAAAATTCAAAAATATAAACAAAATAAAAAATAAATAACTAATAAAATTTTACATTTCGTATTATATATAAGCAACTCTAAATACTCCAATGTACAATAGTAGATCTACTATATCTACATAATATACGTAACATGTAAAAAAATAATATAGAAAATAAAAATTACCATTTGGTAAAATATTATTCTTTCGGCTCCAAGTAACATTCGGCGTGGGATTTCCTGATGCTGAACATTCAATTCTCACTGATGCTCCTTTTTTGACTTGCAAATGTCCTCCAGAACTAATATGATGTATTCTTGGTGGAACTGTAAAATAATAAAATAAAAGATAAAATAAGTAAATATTATAATATTTTTGAATATAAACGCACAAACACAATGGTATACACATAAAATATATTATAGGAAAAAATTTCCCTTATAACGGAAATAAAGAGAAAATTTTATTCATAATATTCACGGAGTTTTTTGTTTTTCCTATTTATATGGAAAATATCTTGAAATAAGAAAACTTTTTGAATAAAATAAAAAAAAAATTTCTTTTATATTGCATTTTTTATACTTTTTTTGTTGGGTCTCCGCTCTTAACATCATTGATTCTGTCTATTTGGGGTTTTTATAGTTTGACTTTTAGGTTTCTAAACTTTCTTTTCTCTTCTTTTACTTCTTTTTTCTTACCCTAGTTAAAGTTTTGTTTTTTTTTGCCATTTTCTGTTATTATTTATTGGTTTTTATTAAAAAAATAGAAAAGAGAGAGAAAACAAAACAATAAAGTATAAAAAAGTTATGATGAAGTTCAATTGAAATAAAAAACAAAATAGAGAAAAGAGGCCAAATAAAATAGTTAAAAGACAAAGAACGAAGCATAGTATATTGTACTGGTGTATAAAAAAATGGAGAGAATAAAATAGAGCTATAGAAAATATTTTCAATATAATAGAAAAATCATTGACCAATTCCCATTATTATCAATCCTAACCCTTGTAATATGAAAGAAAGAAAAAAAAAAAAATTCAATAAAAAACGAAAAATGAACATTTTTTTTATAAAAGTGTAATAAAACGACATTTTTTTTTGTTTCCTACTTTTCTATTCCATACTTTTTCTATATATATCTAGTATCTAAATTGATTGGCTTTTAAGAGTTAATAGTTATTGGCTGTGATCAAAATTGAAACATGGGTGAGGATATAACGTTGGTACTTTTAAAATCCTGTTAATGTTTTTTAACAGCAATTTGTCTGATGTTATAAAAAAGTGACAACTAAGTGATATTTTATATTGCAGTTCAAAACTTCTAATTCTAAATGGTTCTAATTAAAATCGAAAACTACAAATTCGAAACGATCGTTGAAAGATTGATTAAAATTTAGAAGAAACTGTTTCAAACCTGAGTGTTTTAATCCTTATTTAGATAAACAGTCTTATTCTAAGGAGCAAATGCATGCAGATGACATAAGCACTATACATCATAGTTAGATTTTATCGTAAAAAATTAGATATTATTGTTACAAGCACAAGTCATGAAAGTCGTAATGACCATGTTAATGAATTTTTCGGTATTACTTTACTTCGTAATTCGCTTCTTAAATTTAGTAGTTCAAAATATTGAGTTATTTATATAGTTTGCGTAATTTGTGTAATTGTTAGAGTCAAATGGCTGTAAACCAAATAGTTCTGCCGGCTATTTGTCAATTTTCAAAGATTTTAATCTAGTTATACAATGAAATTTCCATATATTCCGTTTCTATTCTATAGCGAGACTGTCTGACCAAATATATCACTCTCGAACTAAATCACTTTTTATTAGGAAAATACCTTTTTAACAAGACAACAACCATATCCCTTATTTTGGTCACCATTTCCCGTCATTTGAATATCGAAACAAATTTCAAAAAACATTTATTATATCATAATTCCTATCGCTAATAAGCAAGAGAACAAGTACACACAAAAGGGGAAATATGAAAAACAAAAAAATTTTCTTTATGTGGATCAATTCTCTTATACGTAGACTATTTTTCTTTCGACCTTAAGTGGTCACCGTATGATGGTTCCACTCTATGTTTAAGAATCTTTTATTAATACGTTTGACGATTGACAATAATTTTTTCTTGAAAATTTTCGTAAAAATATAGTTCTAATTTTATGTAGGGATGGGCAATGGTATTCCAAAAATAAAAAATTCAATTCGAATTGAATCTGAAATCTGATTATTATAATGTTTTAATAAAAACTGATGTTTGTAGCTATATACATTGGAAAAACTAAAATCAAGTGCTAAAAATTAAATTATATTGCCATTAACATGAAATTATAGGAAGTTATTATCAGATTTTGCAATTTTCCAATATGTATATATATCTTTTTTGCTATCCCAGTATTTTATTGTTCTGGAATATGAAGAAAAGAAAACTATGCATGACCTTTTCATTTTTTTGCTTATTTTCGGTATGTCAACATTAAATTTCTTTCTAAAATGTTAGCATTTATCGACCAATGACATTAAATATTATAGTTTTTCTTTTCTATATTTCTTCATAATATTTAAGTTGTCACATATACATACATATATGACGTCCCTAAACATGTATATGTATGTACTTTTATTCTAGACGATATTTTTATTAAAAAGTCAACCCTTATAGCTCAACCGAATAGAGTATATGAAAATGTCATCGTAATTTCAATTATATTTACTGTTGTTACTCAAAAAAAAAAAAGATTGTTATAAAAATCACACAAGGAAAAAAAAATGGCACAAAATCAAAAAATAAAAGTCATAAATTTGTTGAGTCCTTTTTTTTAATAATGTCAAGTAAAATGTTTGTTTGTGTGTTGTTCCTTCTATATAGTGCTATATGCAATAATGTAAGCATGCGGTATATTATAAATTATATATCTAAATCGTAATATTTAAGTGAATATGTGAACGTTATTTTATTGATATTAACATTAAATAAGTGACTACATGACATCCATTTTTAATGTTACATATATATATATATATATATATATATATATGTAACTTGACAATTTAATGATAATTGTCCAACACTAATAAAAATGAATGGGCCAGAAAAAATGAAGCAATCATCATATTAGTAAGTGCTTTTACAGGATGATTTTGAAAATAAAAACAAGAATTTTTTGTGAACACTATGAAAATAGTGTTGACTATTTGAAATAATATTAACATAGCGCAGCTCCAACACAACACATCAATTTATGGCATTTATTAATTAACAAAAAAATTTACATTTTGCTTATAATTTGCTCAATTGCTCACTGTGAGGCACAACGACCTGGTTAAACTCACAATAAGCTTTTAATTTCGCTACAAAATTATAAGCATAGTGCTATGGTGTTATGAAGCCTGTATATTCATGGCAGAGCCGAATTTTATAAATCCGAAACCTAATTCACATTGACTTGACGATGCAAAGGTCGCCAACAGTAGCTATTCATAATGAATAAGCATGGTTGTCCTTTATTTTATTTGGTTGAATCCACAATAGGTGACTTGGCCGTTGAGATTGAAAAGGCAAACTCCGTCACAGATATCTTCTTCACTCCTTTTAAGTGTACCATTTAACGTTTAAATCACCCTATCATAATAATACAATACAATTTTAGCCGAATATAATTTTCCACTTTAAACATTGTATGCATTTATCTACAATATTTTTTATACAATCTACAATATATTGTAGAAAAATTAAAGAAAGTTTTTATTACAAAAATGTTTTAAGAAAATTTCTTTGCCATATTTTTGTTTTTTTTTGCCAGCGACATAAGAGCGGAAACGTAAAGGAAATTGTTGAGAAATATTTTTGATTTTTATATAATTTTTTAAAGGATTTAAAATTTTTCACGAAATTTGGTTATATGGAATAGGAAATATATGTATATAATAATTTTGTAAATTTAATATAAAATTTGCAATATTTCTATATGCTTTCAATTATGCTTAACTAAATTAGAGTTAGAGTGAATTTAATAAAGAAAATCTTCCTCATTTTTAAGTATTAATTTTTAAATACTTAAATATGTATGATCCAATTTAATGAATCATTTAAAAAATAGTTAAGTGAGTCATTAAAACAAGCCAAGTAACAACAGTGTTAATGGGAGTATTGAAACGGTCTTGGAGTGCTGACAGGGCACTGTCTCTTTGATGCAAAAATATTGCAAAAGTGAAAGACGGAAGAAGAAATACTTCTTGAGGGTCTTCTTTCCGATGGTTTGGACGAATTGTTGGATGAATTTTTGGCACGGCTCAAGAGGTTCGTTAAGAAGGTTGATTGCTTTCAATAAATGGAGTCGGGGCTCTTATTTTTTATTGCAGTAGTTGATTTATATAGAGTTTGTCAATGCATCTTCTTATGGATATTTTACTAAATCCAAAATATTAACAAAACTTGAATTAGTTAATAATTAAGTTTTTGGGAGCTTTCATATTTATTGATTAATTTTTTTCATAAGAGTGAATTAATTGCTTTATAATACTAATTACTTTCATTGCTTATTGTAGTCATTATAAATGTTTCATATATTTAAGGTATACGAGCATATCATTCTTCACCCCAGAAGGGTACGAATCACTGAAATACCGTTTTTGAAATATTCTGTATTCTTCTCTTAGCCCAAAAATTTGTTAACCCCTTTCTGGCAAATAATAAATTTCATGAAAGACTTCTTTTCTGTGAAAAAATTCAATTACAAATTAAAGGAAATTTTCCCTCTGTTACTGGAATATTTTAATACAAAATTATTTAAGCAAATATTATTCAATTAAAATATTTCAGAATTTAAAGGATAATAAATACTCTAACCCTTTAAATACTCCTGTTTATCTCAATGCTGATCCGATCAGTTAAAAATTTATTTTATTTTTTCAATTTAATAATATTGCTGTTTACAACATATTTTATAATTATTTCTAAAATAAGTAAATTTTAATTGCATTCTTACATACATATACAAATTTATATATTGTATTTATTAATGAAAATGCAGATGATTACAGAATTATATACAAAAATTTATTCAAATTTCTAACATATTCGAAAAATATTTTCCAATTTTAAAAATCTTTTTTATTTTCTCTTCTAAACTTTTTTAACCCTTTTTTTTTGCCTCTAAATATTATACGATTTTAATATCTTTCGGCTATATTATTGAATTTCTTTTGGGAATCAAAAAAAAAATAACATTAAAATTATTGGGAAAATTTAATTCTCGGGTGTATAATCATAGAATTAATTATATCGAAATTTCATTTTTAAAAATGAGAGTACATACTT